TTCCTCTCTGTTTGCATTGTATTCCCAGGGGTCCTTTGAGCTTCTTGTACTTGGATGTCTAGCTTTTTAGCAAGACCTGGGAAATTTTCCTCAATTATATCTTCAAATAGCTTATCCAACCCTTGAGTTTTTTCTTCCTCCCCTTCTGGAATCCAGAAGAGCCTCAGGTTATATTTCTTCATATAATCCCACAATTCTTGTAAGCTTTACTCATGTCTCTTATTTTTCTGCTCTATCTCTGTGATTAATTTATTTCATTTGAAGGTGTTATCTTCAATCTCTGAGATTCTTTCTTCTGTTTCGTCCACCCTATTTTTGAGGCTTTCCACTGTGTTTTGTTGTTCCCTGAATATATTCTTTATTTCCAGGAGATTGGATTGATTTTTCTTTAAGATCTCTATTTCCTTAGAGAATTTTTCTTCCAAGTACTGGATTTTTGTGTGTGCTTTCTTTGTGTTGGTTATCTATTTTTTCTTGCATATCATTGAGCTTTCTTACAATCCAATTTTGAAATTCTGTCACTTTAGTGTTTTGAGTTTGGTTAATATCCATTGTGTGAGAGCTGGTGTATCTCTTTGGGGCAGTGTTTTCCATTTGATTCTTCATAGTTCCAGAATTCTTTCGCTGAGCCCTCTCCATCTGGATCATCTGTTGTTTTTTCATATGATAGGTAACAGACTCTATGTATGCACTATTTCTGTGGGTGATATATGAAGGAGGCAACCTGGGCATCCTCCCTTCTATGTTTTCTTGATCTGCCACTGGGGGGAGCTCTTCCACCACACTTGGGAGGCTACCCCTGATGGGAGGGGTTCTTTGTGGAGTCTATTGTAGCCACTTGCAGGGGATTTGTTCCTTGACCATGGCCCTGACTATGGGCAGCTGACCTGGGGAGGAGATCCAGCCCCAGCGTTTTGATCGACTGGGTGACCTAAACTGTTCTGGATAGCAAAGTCATTAGGCTATCAGCTATTGATCTGTGCCAAGGCCCAGCAGATTCACCCTAGATCAGGAAAACAGTGGCTTTTCTTGTCTCATCCTGTCTCTAGGGGTAGAGCCTACTGCTTTTGGCTCGAAAGATGCAGGATAGGGGGAGGAGGTAGCACCCTGGTCTGCCCTACACCCAGGCACCCCAGTGGCTGTAACTCCCCTTGGCATTAGACTCCTCAGTACTAGAGTTTACAGTTCCTTGATCAAGGCAGGACTGGCTAGTTGATCATAGATTGTATAAGGGCAGAATTTCTCAGGACAGTCTGTGGGGTGGGGGAGGGGATCTGCCTGCCACACCATATCACACCATGGTGGCTGGGCTGTGGATCCCCACAGTGGTGACCACCTGCCCACTTGCAGAGTACCAGCACTAGGGGGCGACTGTTCAGGAAATGGCAGGTGCCAGATTGGGGAGCTGGGTCATTAGGAAGCCCCGTTGCCTCCTTTATGCCCCCTTCCCACCGACTCACGCCTGTTCAGCCATAGCTCTCATGCTCTTACTGGCCGACCCTGGGCTGGCCTATTCACCTGAGTCCTAGTCACCCTGAGGTGGTTCCAGCTTAGAGTCCCTGACTTAGTGATCACCTCTGTAGGACTGGCCCCACTGGTTACCAGAGGCAAGATATCTAACTGCCTCCCCTAGCAGATCAGAATGGTTTCCTCCCCACTTGGTGCCGTCCTAGCACGGAGCTCCGGGAGTTCATGATGCTTTCCATTAATGACCACTCTACAGCACCCACTACTCCTGCCACAATTTTGCACCAACTTCAGGCAGATCCCTGGCTGAGTGGTTGTGGAGGTCAATAGGGAAGCAATAAGTTCTCCTGTGGGTCTGATCACACTTCACTCTCCGGCCTGGTAGGCCAGTGCCCTCCCACACTCTATGCCCTATTGTTTGTTTTGCACTGTCCAGGAAACACGATCTTATCTCCCGTTCACCTGGTTTTGTCCATTTTTGAGGGTCACATGCTGAACTTCTGCTGATTCACAATGCTCTTCTTGTGGGGGAGAGATCCACTCATGTGTGGGAGACCAAGATCTATGCCTCTTTCTCTGGGAGCAAGAATCCGAGGGTTACCTTTACTCCACTATTTTTCTCTCCTCCAAGTGCTCACTTTTCTACATGTCCAGTGGAAGCTTTGAACACTGTTGTCATTCCATAAAAATAAGAACACTGTGACTCCTCTAAGACCTCCTATGAAGGCAGTGTTACAAAGAGCCAGATCTGAAAACAGGGTCAGATTTTAGAGGGAAGGGAAAGTATAACCGTCAGAGCCAACTATAAGAGCAGTGTCACCATAGACTATTGGTGACCTTCTGTGATTGAGCGCATGCACTCACACAAAAACACATCATCAGAGCAGAAAAAAAATAATTTGCACCTTTTCTATGAGAACTAGAATTTCCAAATCATAGAAGAGCTAATTTACTAAATGGATATAAGAGAATGAAAACCCTGGAAGAATTCCAGTCTGAACCACTCAAGGAGCATTCAATCTGGGGGACATTTATAAAGCATTCATACCAGGATTAGAACCCTAAAGATTTCAGTTCCTTTAAGCTGATCATTCTGACTTTCAGGAGGTAGGAAAGAAGATGATGGGTGAATGTTGCTGTTGGTGTTGCAGATGTTAGGTATTGGCTAGGCAGGACTTCTCTGTATTGGCCACTGCAGTTCCTTAGTCAGTGACAGGAAAGCTCCCATATCTATAAAACCACAATCCCTGTTACTTGGCTTTCTCTTTCACTTTATAGATATAAGACTCATTCACATGGACTGTTTAAGAAGCTGAGAATTCCTGGGCCCACACCTTTGCCTGTTGTGGAACATGTTCTATCTTACTGCAAACTGGGGTTTTTTTTAACTCTCTCTTTTGCTTCTTATGATTGCAAACAACAGCTTATTCCATTGGGAAAAAATGTCCCTCCTTTCTGATGTTTGACGCTTCAGAAATGATGTATATACCCCAGGGGATAGCCAGGTTCACCCTAGGGGTCTGTTATCTTCTCTTGGGAGCCTCAGGTTGGGCTCAGCTGAACAGCCCAGATCTCTGAACAGTCAGTCCTAGACCTAATGTTCAGGGCTTCATGTTGAGACTTTGGTAGCAAAGTCTTTTTGTCTAGTGTATATTCACAGGGAGGTACAGTCATACTTACTATTAGGAGAAATGCAGGAAGGGAGACCCTCAGTAGTAGCTCATTAAGCTGTGTGCTTCATTTTCAAACTTTCTTGTTTAGCAAGAGCAATTGAGTAGCCTTGTTTCCCTTACTTCTGCACAGCTTGGAAACTTCAGCCCTTGTATTCATGGAGTAATTTGCACCTACTTGAATTATCTCAAGAACTGCTAAATTCACTCTGGGTACTTCATAGTTGTACCCTAGATTTTGCTTTCCATGGTATATTTTGGAACTTTACCAGGCAGAACAAGAGGTTCTCCTTTGTTTCTTTTCCTTGAAGGGGGCACCCTCTGGGTGAGTCTGAGCAGGGAGTGGATATAACTGAGACAAGGTGTTGGTTGTCCATTGACTTCAGATATTTAGGCATGAAATGAACTTTGTTTTGTTTTGTTTTGTTTTAAAAAAAGCAGACTCATGTTTGCAAAATGTGTAGAAAGGAGATGAGTTGACAAAATTCTGAAGAATTGGTCGGGCCTGGTGTATCAGACTCATAATCCCAGCACTCTGAGAGGCTAGGTTGGAGGGTCCGTTGAGGTCAGGATTTCGAGACTAGTGTGAGCAAAAGTGAAAAATAGAAAAAAATTAGCCAGGCATGGTGGTGTGCTCCTGTAGTCCCAGCTATGAGGGATGCTGAGGGAATAGGATTTCTTGAGTCCTGGAATTTCAGGTTGCTGTGAGCTAGGTTGACACCACCACACTTTAGTGAGGGCAACAGAGCAAGACATTGTATGAAAAAAAAAAATTACCAAGAATTTAAATTAATTGTACTATAAGTGTGATGAGAACTGTGAGTTTTGGGCAAGCCACTGGGGCTAATTCTTCACCCAGGGCCTGGCCCCTGAACATAAAGTCATCAGCTCACACCCATGAGGTGACCAGCAAAGCCTGTGTACAGGCTGGTCTCTGGCCCCGATTTCATTTCCCACACACCTCAGGCTTCTTGCTCAGATTCTAATTCTCCCAACTCAAGTATTTCTTGCCTAAATACAGCCTAAGATTCCATATTTTTCCCTCTGCAAAAGCCATAATACACTGTTCACCTTGCTCAGATCAATGCTTTACTAAGTGTATCCCAAGATCCATATTTGTGGGACATTCTTTCACTCAGTGATAATATCACAACTGAAACATAGCACCAGGAAGATTAGTTTTTAAGCTGCAGAAGTGAGGACTTGCAGCAAGTGTAGTAATTTGTCCTATGTGAAGAAGCTGCATTTCCTGATCTTTTCCATTTTCAATTGGACAACAGGAGGCAAGGACATTTTGCCATTTCCTCAGTCACTCGTTACTGATTTTCTCACTCAACATGCCTTAGACTGAGATAAATCTGTAGACCAAAGAGGTTCTTGATGTCCTTGACTTACCAATTCCACTTGAATTCTAGAGAAAGTTCCTCAGATAAATGAAAAGGATGCTGAATGAGATGAAAGAATGTGCATCTCCCTAGACACTTGCTCACTCTCCCTCAGCCTCAGTTTCCTCACATGCCCATGGGGGTGATCATTCAGAAGGTTATGAGACATTAGAAAGAATACGTGCATGTGCAAAAACACTTCAGAAATATGAGGAGTTGTATAGTATTGATAAACAAGGGTAAATCATTCTGTATCTACAATATTTGGAGAAAATTCAAGAGTGACATTAAATCATCCATTGCAATTATTTCCTCTATATCCCCCCATTCCCCTCAACATCTCTGAACAAAAGGTTTCCTCTAACTTCCAGTGAAACATACCCTGATGTCTTCAGGTTTCACTTTTTTTTGCCCCATTAGAGGGAGGATTGAGTATATTTAAAATAACAATTGTATTTTATTTTGTTTCTCTTCCCAGAGATTTTGGAAATTTGATGAAGAATGTTATAAAAAGTATGGGAACGTGTGGGGGTGAGTGTTCTGGATGATACACCCCACATACGAAGCACAATCTCAGCCCAGAGTCTCTTGGGATGAAGCCGCTGTCAACCGACAAAACAGAGAGAGGCTCTCTGAAAGGAAAAATATATTTATTTGGGAGTAAAGCATTCCAATGGAAATGTGCATTCTATGCAAACTATGTGCCTATTCAGGGAAGTAAAGGAAGAAAAAGGTTGTTAAAGGGAAAACTGAGCAGGATAACAGAACTATTTTGAAAACATTATCTATAGCTACAAAGATCAATAAAAAGGGATCACCAGTCTGAGGTTGGACAGGCAGTTACTGAGCAGATGTCCTCCCTGAAGTACTTTTACTCTAACCATACTATGCTCTTTGTGCAAGGTGTGCTTTCTGTAGACTATTTTGTGACAGTTTTGGTTTTTGCCATGGAAGCATGAGAATATTCTCTTCATAAGCTTACCAGGATCTGTAAGTTTTTATTTATTTTTATAACATCAGTGTGGTTCCGTTTTGTTTCTGAAAACATTCACACTCTCTACTGAAAAGCTATTTGAGACTTATCCCACCAAGAATTCCATAGGTCACCAGGTATTGAGGTCTGCAGTCTCAATGAAGCTGAGAACGTTGCAGGTGACCACTTTTCTCAAGGCTTGATGGCCCAGGGACTCCCAGCATCACATTCTGTCCAGTGTCTGACTTTTCACCTCTTCTCCTTTTTTCCTACCTTAGGTTACCTTCAATTGCACGAAGGGCATCATTTCAGACTGCTCTAACATGTGCTCATAAATGCATGGTATTAACTCTCTCCCACAGTTATTCATTTTTCAATAAAGCCAAATTCTTAAATTAAATTTTTGCATTTAATACATGCTTTTCAAAGAAGAGCTGGAAGATAGAGATGAACATATTGGAAAATAATTCATAATCTGTTTTTTTCCCTTTCTTTGCAAGTGTGGAGCTTTCTTTGTGTTGTTTTTTAAATTTAAGTGAAAACTTTTCAAGAGAAGTATATTCAAGTTTTTCTTTGTCTACTCCATTCTATTAACTTTGGAGAAGAGATATGGAATATATTAGACCACCATGTTCCCCAGTGGGCTAATCGACTTCATGATTTTGAGGATGACCTCATCCATCTGCAGCAGCTGTTTCCTTTTCAAAGCTGCTGGGGGCTTGGTGAGAGCCACAGAATACATGTGATCCTGTGTACACTACAAGCAAGTGGGAGAAGGTTTCCCCTCTTCCATAGTACCTCAGAACAAAAGATTTCCTGTTATTTCTCACCATGATCTTGTAGAAGAGCTATTTTGTATTTAAATGTGTCTTCCCCACTTAAGCCACATTTCCCTTCATTCTGTGAAGACTCCAGGGGCTTCTGTGGTCAGAATCTTGCTGTGTGTCCTACTCTAACTTGAACTAGGACCTAATGTTGCTGTGTATGGTACAACTGGAGTGTGGATTATGTAATGTCAGGATCAAAGTCTGGATTCCTGGGTGTGGCTGCAGCTGCAGAATTAGGCTTGTAGAGTCTAATCAGCTTTGTTGTCCTGACACAGGGTATATGAAGGTCAATGGCCTGTGCTGGCTATCACGGAATCCCTACATGATCAAGACAGTGCTAGTGAAAGAGTGTTACTCTGTCTTCACAAACCAGCAGGTACGCATCCATGTTTTAACTTTATAGCTTTATATTTTTATTTATTAAATTTTTATTTTGAAATACTGGTCGATTCACAGGAAGTTGTCAAAAAATGGTACAGGGAGTTTCCATGTACACTTCATCCTGTGTCCCCCAATGGTAACATTTTGCATCGGTATAAACCTAGTATACTCCTATCACTATAGTTACAGGAAATTGACATTGATTTTATCCACAGAGATTTTTCAGATTTCCTAAGTATTATGTTGCCCCATCTTTGTGGATGTGTATGTGTAGCTCTATGCAACTTTATCACATTCATAGATTTGCGTAACCACCAGCACGATGATGACACAGAAGACCTCCATCACCATGAGTGTCACTGCTGCTGTTCTTCTACAGTCATGATGTGTAGCTTGTCTTTTTCTCTTAGCAGAGCTTGTATCACAGCAAACATTTTTTAGCTTTTTTTTTTTTTTTTTTTTTTTGAGACAGAGTCTCGCTTTGTTGCCCAGGCTAGAGTGAGTGCCGTGGCGTCAGCCTAGCTCACAGCAACCTCAAACTCCTGGGCTCGAGTGATCCTTCTGCCTCAGCCTCCCGGGTAGCTGGGACTACAGGCATGCGCCACCATGCCCGGCTAATTTTTTATATATATATCAGTTGGCCAATTAATTTCTTTCTATTTATAGTAGAGACGGGGTCTCGCTCTTGCTCAGGCTGGTTTTGAACTCCTGACCTTGAGCAATCCGCCCGCCTCGGCCTCCCAAGAGCTAGGATTACAGGCGTGAGCCACAGCACCCGGCCATTTTTTAGCTTTGAGTAGGCCAGTTCATAAATTTTTCCTCTCATGGTTGGTACATTTGGTGTCAAGTCTGAAATTTCTTCCTCAGCCCTCCGATATTATTGTGGCCTTTTCTAAAGGTTGTATAGTTGGATGCTTTACAGTTAGGTCTATGATCTATTTTTCTGGAAATTTTTCTATAAAGCATGAGGTTTAGCTCTGGGTCCATTTCTTGTGGCCTATGGCTGTCCAGTTTTTCCAACACCATTTTGGAAAGGCTGTCCTCCCTCCATTGAATTGCTTGTTACACGTGTATTAAAAATGATTTGGACCTCTTTGTGTGTGCCTATTTCTCAATGTCTATTCTATTCCATTGATCACTGTATCTATCCCTCATCCAGTACCATACTTTCTTGATTACAGTAGCTGTATAGTAAGTCTGAACAGCATGTAGATTCAGACCTACCACTTTATTTTTTCTTCCAGAGGACTTACAGCAATTCCCCAAATAGGAAACAATTATCTCTTCTTTTCCCTGTATCCCTGTGAAAAAAAATTAAGAGAACAGGACGTCCAAGTAATTATATTATTTCTTCAAAATACATTCATAATCTTTCATGTATTATCTACAATTTTTAAAAAATTTCTACCTCAAGGTATTCCTTTTTAAAGTTGTTCATGTAATACTGTATGTAAAGATAGAAGTAGTCTCATGCAACCCACAGTCTGCCAAGGCTACCTGGTGAACTGTCAGCAGTCCCTTTTTTCTCTGCACAGCCCTGGAGGATGTACAAGTCTTGTTCCCCACTAGGGAATCATTTGCATTTAAAAGGAGATTCAGATTTAGAGGCTGCAAACCACACCAGGTGGCTGGGAGACCTCAGACAACACACAAACACACAGGCTCAGAGGAGGGTAGGTATTTGGGATAAATCTATAATACAATGAGCAACTAGCATGGGACCTGCCACCTGAGAGACAGTCACTTAATATTTGTTATATAAGTGGTGCCTGTTTAATACATTTTTATATCTGTAGAGATCACAAACTTATAAAGGATAAAATGTTTTTGATTTGAACTCCAGCCTTTTGTTCCAGTGGGATTTATGAAAAGTGCCATCTCTATATCTGAAGATGAAGAATGGAAGAGAATACGAGCATTGCTATCTCCAACCTTCACCAGTGGAAAACTGAAGGAGGTAAGAAAATACAAGGACTTCTACTTAGGAAATGAATGAATCTGGGAACAGGGACAAAGTAACATTATGGTCCCTTTCCAGGAGGTAGTCCACTAAGATTGAGCTTCCTAAAAGTGGCCTTTTATCTTTATGTCCAGAAGAGACATCACAAAATTCATTATAAAATACAATTTACCACTCCATGCTAGGGAAAACCATGTCCTCCTGGGACTTGAGTGTACAGATTTAACTATGTGTAGTGTTGTGTTTCATGCTTAGATGTTCCCCATCATGAGCCAGTATGCAGATGTGTTGGTGAGAAACCTGAAGCAGGAAGCAGAGAAAGGCAACTCTGTCACCTTGAAAGAGTAAGTAGGAACACAGTCTCAGGGTTCTGAGCTGTCATAGAACCCTCTAGCTGCCTGCCACAGAGCTGATGTTCCCACTGTTAAGTTATTCCTGTGAGCAGACAGAGCAGGGGTGTGGTGTTACAACTCCAAAGGACCCTCCAGGGGTGGGGCAGATTGCATGAGAAGGCAGGGCAGCAGAAATGGGGAGGGGTCGGCAGGGCGCAGTGGCTCACGCCTGTAATCCTAGCACTCTGGGAAGCCGAGGCGGGCAGATTGTTCGAGGTCAGGAGTTCAAAACCAGCCTGAGCAAGAGTGAGACCCTGTCTCTACTATAAATAGAAAGAAATTAATTGGCCAACTAATATATATAGAAAAAATTAGCCGGGCATGGTGGTGCATGCCTGTAGTCCCAGCTACTTGGGAGGCTGAGGCAGCAGGATTGCTTGAGCCCAGGAGATTGAGGTTGCTGTGAGCTAGGCTGACACCACAGCACTCACTCTAGCCTGGGCAACAAAGTGAGACTCTGTCTCAAAAAAAAAAGAAAAAGAAAAAGAAAAAAGAAACGGGGAAGGGTCTTCTCCAGTGTGCAAAAGAGCCATGAGTAATTAATCTGATTAATTGTTCTTTACATGTACTGGAAGACAAAATATGTAGCTTAGGAAGAAGAAACATGCTTGTACCAAAGTTTTGGGCACGGAGGGTATGGAATGGGGGGAGGTCACATGGCTTGGTACCTGAGTGCTGGCAGGGGCAGGGCAGAAGATTAACAATGGAAAATGTGGGAGAACTTCAGTCTCTTCAGATTTTACTGAGGGTACCATGACTACTAAATATTAAACCTTCCCACCACTTCACCTTTCTTCAATTTCAAAAGAGAGAGGGCCCTGTAAAGGATAAGTTTAGAGCATTTAATGTCATTTAATGTCTAACCTGACATATTTCTGAATTATGCAGGAAAGACAGGTGTACACTGAGCCTGTCCTACACAGATTGGGGACATGTGCTCACTCAATAATGGACCCTCCCTCAATGAATTTAGTGGGATCTATTATTTTGTTATCCAATTTGTTTTTATCTAGGAACACTCTTAGTTCTTACCTTTTACAGAAATGCTCCTACCCACAGGCCAATCCTAGATCATAGGAGTTGGGGAAAATGGGCCTTTCAGGAGACTTAGAAGACAGTGTAGAGGAGAGAATATGCTCGTGGTGACTCAGAACCAGGTCTTGATATTCTGTAATGTGCCAGATCAATCAGATCTTGGCATAGACTCTCTGCTGAGGCAACGTCTCCTTTCTTGAGTCCCTAGGATGAGTTAGTTATTCCACTCTTGTTCTGATGAAGCATGGTGTTTACACCCCTCTTGTCATACACACTCAACACACTCTCCTGTAGTTTGTCTGGCTTTGGATAGCTGTCCTCCTGTGCCTGAGCTCCTTGAGCTCAGAGGTAGGACTATCTTGACTTAGTGGCTCCACCACACTCAGCACAGGGCAGCTGCATCACTGGCACATGATAACCACATCATGAGGGAGTGGGATTGGAGATGATCCAGCAGGTAGTTCTGAAAGGCTATGGTTCCTGACATCTGCTGACAGTTCACACAGATTTACACACACATCTTGCTGCATGTGCACTAGAAGAATGGTGAAGCAGTGCTCATTTCAATCTTCCATGTCTTTCTCTACTCAGCATCTTTGGGGCCTGCAGCATGGATGTCATCACGAGCACATCATTTGGAGTGAACATCGATTCCCTCAACAACCCACAAGATCCCTTTGTGGAAAAGACCAAGAATCTCTTTAGAATTTATTTCTTAGATCCACTCTTTCTCTCAATAAGTATGTGGATATTATATCTATTTCTCTCTCCTTTTTAAAATAACCACTTTATTGAGATATAATTCAAATACCAAAGAATGTATATACTTAAAATGGACATTTCAATGATTGATAATACATTCAAACATATGTATAACCATCACCATTGTCAACTTTGGAATATTTTCATCAACTCAGGTACCTGTAATTTTTTTCTACTTTGTTAACATTACATTATTTTTTAAGTTTTTTATCTTTCTTCTCTATATTTCAGAATAATATGGGGTTATAAAATTTAGGTTACATATATTGCCTTGGTACCACCCAAGTCAGAGCTACTCGTGTGCCCATCACTCAGACAGTGTGTACCTTATATATTTATACCCATTAGGTATAAATATACCCATCTCCTCCTTCTCCTCCCACTTGCCTGACACGCAATGTGTATTACTTCAATATGTGCATGCAAGTGTTGATCAACTAGTACCAATTTGGTGGCGAGTATATGTGGTGCTTGTTTTTCCATTCTTGTGACACTTCAGAGAATGGGCTCCAGGATAATACAAGTGATATTAGTTCACCATTGTTGTTTTGGGTTTTTTTGTGTTCTATTTTTAATTTTAGCTTTTTTGGTTTTGTTTTGTTTTTCTTTTTTTTAATTTTAGCATATTATGGGGGTACAAGTGTTAAGGTTATGTATATTGTCCATGCCCCTCTCACCCCTTGAGTCAGAACTTCAAGCATGACCATCCCCTAAACATTGCACATATCACTCATTATGTTTGTATATACCCATCCTCTCCTCCCCCCTCCCACCTGCCCGACACCAGATAAATATTATTCCTATATGTCCACTGAGGTGTTGATCTATTAATACCAATTTGCTGGTGAGTACATGTGGTGCTTCTTTTTCAATTCTTGAGATACTTCACTTAGTAGAATGGGTTCTGGCTCTATCCAGGAAAATACAAAAGGTGCTATCACCATTGTTTCTTAAAACTGAATAGTACTCCATGGTATACATATACCACATTTTATTAATACACTCATGAATTGATGGGCACTTGGGTTGTTTCCACAGCTTTGCAATTGTGAATTGTGCTGCTATAAGCATTCGAGTGCAGGTCTCTTTTTCATAAAATGACTTTTGATCTTTTGGGTAGATGCCAAGTAGTGGAATTGCTGAATCAAATGGTAGATCAACTTGTATCACTTTAAGGTGTCTCCATATTGCTTTCCACAGAGGTTGAACTAGTTTGCAGTCGCACCAGCAGTGTAGGAGTATTCCTCTCTCTCCGCATCCATGCCAGCATTTATTGTTTGGAGACTTTTTGATAAAGGCCACTCTCACTGGAGTTAAGTGATATCTCATTGTGGTTTTGAGTTGCATTTCCCTGATGATTAGAGATGTTGAGCATTTTTTCATATGTTTGTTAGCCATTCTTCTGTCTTCTTTTGAGAAGTTTCTGTTCACGTACTTTGCCCATTTTTTCATAGGGTTGTTTTATTTTTTCTTGCTGAGTTTCCTGAGTTCTGAATAGATTCTAGGTATCAGCCCTGTATTGGATGTGTAGCTTGCGAAAATTTACTCCCATTCTGTGGGTTGTGTGTTTGCTCTCTCGACAGTTTCTTTGGCTATGCAGAAGCTTTTTAATTTTATCAGGTCCCATTTATTTATTTATTTTTATTGCTGCTGTGATTGCCTGTGGGGTCTTCTTCATAAATTATTTGCCTAGGCAAATGCCTAGAAGAGTATTCCCAAAGTTTTCCTCTAGAATTCTAATAGTTTCACACTTAAGGTCCAAGTCTTTTACACAGCATAAGTTGATTTTTGTGAGAGGTGAATGATGTGGGTCTTGTTTCAGTCTTCTACATGTGGCTATCCAGTTTTCCCAGCACCATTTATTGAATAAGAATTCTTTTCCCCAGTGTATGTTTTTGTCTACTTTGTTGAAGATTAGTTGGCAGTATGAGGATGGTTTTATATCTGGGTTCTCAGTTCTATTCCACTGGTCAGTGTCTCTGTTCTTGTGCCAGTAACAAGCTATTTTAAAAGCTATAGCCTTGTAGTATAGTTTGAAGTCTAGTAAATTGATACCTCCTATTTTGTTTTTATTGCCTAGGATTGATTTTGCTATACAGGGTCTTCTCTGGTTCCATATGAAGTGTAAAATTATTTTTTCTATATCTGAGAAATATGATGATGGTATTTAGATAGGGATTGCATTGACTCTGTAGGTCACTTTGGGTAGTATAGACATTTTAACAATGTTGATTCTGCCTACCCATGAGCATGGTATATTCTTCCACCTGTTTACTTCCTCTGCTCTTTCCTTCTTCAGTGTTTCATAGTTCTCCCTGTAGAGGTCTTTTACCTCCTTAATTAAATACATTCCAAGGTACCTTATTTTCTTTGTTGCTATTTTGAAGGGAATTGAGTCTTTGATTTGGTTCTGACTTTTACTGTTGTTGGCGTTTATGAATGCCTCTGATTTCTGTGTATTGATTTTTACCCTGAGACATTACCAAATTCATTTATCAATTCGAGGAGCCTCTTGGTTGAATCCTTGGGGTTTTCTAGGTATAATATCATGTCATCAGCAAAGAGTGAGAGTTTTGTCTCTTCTGCTCCCATTTGGATGCTCTTAATTCTGCTTTCTTGTCTGATTGCTGTAGCAAGGACTTCCAGCACTACGTGGAATAGAAGTGGAGATAGTGAGCAACCTTGCCTGGTTCCAGTTCTAAGTGGGAATGCTTTCAATTTTTCCCCATTCAGTATGATGTTGTCTGTGGGTGTGTCATATATGGCTTGTATCACTTTTAGGTAAGCCCCATCTATGCCTATTTTGTTGAGCATTCTTATCATAAAAGGGTGTTGAATTTTGTTAAATGCTTTTTCTGCATCTATTGAGAGGATCATATGGTCTTTGTTTTTGCTTCTGTTTATATGGTGAATTATATTTATAGATTTGTGTATGTTGAGCCATCCCTGCATCCATGGGATGAAGCCAACTTGGTTGTGATGGATTATTTTTCTGACAAGCACCTGGATTCAATTGGCTGTGATTTTGTTGAGAATTTTTGCATCTATGTTCATAAGGAATATTGGTCTGTAGTTTTCTTTCTTTGTTGCATCCTTTCCTGGTTTTGGTATCAGGGTTATTTTCACTTCATAAAATGTGTTGGGGATGATTCCATCCTTCTCAATGTTGAGGAATAATTTCTGCAGGATAGGCACCAGTTCTTCTTTATAGGTGTGGTAAAATTCAGGTGTGAAACCATCTGATCCATGACTTTTCTTTTTGGAAGGTTTTTTATTGCTGCTTCAATTTCAGTACTTGATATTGGTCTGTTCAGAAATTCTATTTCTTCCTGGTTGAGCCTAAGGAGGCTGTGTGTTTCTAAGAAATTGTCCATTTCCTTCACATTTTCCAGTTTGTGTGCATAGAGGTTTTTGTAGTATTCATAAATTATATCTTATATCTCCGTGGCATCTGTTGTAATTTCTCCTTTATTGTTCCTGATGGAGCTTATTAGAGATTTCTGTTTTCTGCTTTTCATTAGTCTAGCCAACAAAGGTGTGTCAATTTTGTTTGTTTTTTCAAAAAATGAACTTTTTGTTTTATTAATCTTCCTTATGGTTTCCCTGTCGTCAATTTCATTTAGTTCTGATTTGATCTTAATGATTTCACTTCTTCTGCTGGGTTTACAGTCGATCTGTTCTTCTTTCCAGCTCTTTGAGATGATTTATTATGTTGTCGATTTGTGATCTTTTTGACTTTTGGATATAGGCATTTATGGAAATAAACTTTCCTCTCAGGACTGCTTTAGCTGTGTCTCACAGGTTTTGATAACTTGTGTCTCCTTTGTCATTTAGTTCAAAGAATCTTTTGATTTCCATCTTGATTTCCTAGTTTATGAAGTGATCATTCTGTAGAAGGTTGTTTAGTTTCCATGACTTTGTGTAGAAATGAGAGTTCCTGTTAGGGCTGATTTCTACTTTTATTCCACTGTGATCTTAAAAGATACATGGTATAGTTTTTATTTTTTTTAATTGTTTGAGACATGCTTTGTGTCCTAGGATATAGTCAATCTTAGAGAATGACCCATGAGCTGATGAGAAGAACGTATATTCAGTGGTTTGGGGTAGAATATCCTATAAATGTCAATCAGGCCCATTTGTTCTAGAGTTCTGTTTAAGTCGATTATTTCTTTGTTCATTTTCTGTATGGAGGATCTGTCCTGTGCTGTCAGTGGGGTGTTGAAGTCTCTATTATGGTGTTGTTGTTTATCCATTTGTTTAGATCAAGTAGAGTTTGCTTTATGAATCTGGGTGCACCTAGGTTGGGTGGATATATATTTAGAATTGTTATGTCTTCTTGTTGAACTGTACCCTTCACAATTAAATAGTGACCTTCTTTGTCTTTTATTACTTTTGTTAATTTAAAACTAAGTTATCTGTAATCAGAACCGCCATGTCAGATTTCTTTCAGCTTCCGTTTGCTTGAAATATTGTTTTTCACCCCTTTACCTTTAATCTAAATGCATCCTTGCAGGTTAGATGTGTTTCCTGAAGGCAGAAGATACTTGGCTTGTATTTTTTTATCCATTCGGCCAGCCTATGTCTCTTGATTGGGGAGTTCAAGCCATTCACATTTATTGAGAGAACTGATAGGTGGGGCAGATTTCTGTTAATTATGTTGGGTTGAACTTTGTTGCTTTGTTTTCTCTCTTGAGCCATTGTGGTATTTGGCCTTTGATATTTAGCTTTTGAGTAGATTTATATTCACGAGTGTTTATTGTGCTGATCCCCAGATAATACTGTTTTGAGTACTTCTTGAAGGGCTAGTCTTGTCTTGGTGAATTCCCTCAGTCTTTGCTTATCTGAGAATGTCTTGGTTTCTCCTTCGTATACAAAACTTAGTTTTGCTGGGAATAAGATTCTAGGCTAGGCATTATTCTGTTTCAGAACAGTGAGAATGGGTCCCAGTCTCTCCTTGCTTGTAAAGTTTCAGTAGAGAAGTCTGGCCTTTTTGGATTGGCTTTCCTTTGTATGTTACTTGCTTCTTTCATCTTACAGCTCATAGAAGGGCCTCTTTAGTTGATATTTTGGTCAGTCTGATGACTGCATGTCTTGACGTCTTCCTGTTTGCATTGAATCTCCCAATGGTCTTTTGAGCTTCTTGAACTTGTATCTGGAGACTTTTTAGCAAGGCCTGGGAAATTTTCCTCTATTATATCTTCAAATAGCTTGTCCAACCCTTGAGTGTTTTCTTTTTCCCCTTCAGGTTAACCCTATGACCCTCACATTAGGTTTCTTCACATAATCCCACAGCTCTTGTAGGCTTTGCTCTTTTCTCTTGTTTCTCTGCTCTATTTCTGTGACTGATTTATTTAATTGGAGGGTGTTATCTTCAAGCTCTGAGATTCTTTCTTCTGTTTGATCTACCCTGTTCTTGAGACTTTCCACTGTATTTTGTAGTTCCTTGAATCGATTCTTCATTTCCAGGAGTTCTTTTAAACTTTTCTTCATTGTGTCTATTTCTTTAGTGAACTTTTGTTCTAGGTCATGGAGGCTTTTTGTGGTTTCTTTGTGTTGCCTCTTAAAGTTAAAAGCCATGCTTTTCAAGTATACACATCACAGCTCCTCAGAGTTCAGGTACTGATTTTGTAAGTCTAGGTGGGTCTTTAGATTTTGCATTTCTAATAACCTGCCAGATCATGTTGATGCAGCTGATCCATGGACCACACTTGGAGTGGCAACAGTTTATCTGTAGCCCAGTGTTGTTCCCTTAAGTTCCCTCAACCATGTGTAGAGAAAAGATCCTTCAATTTTCCCTGAAGCCTCAGTATTGCAAATTCTGAAAAATGCTCAAGCTCTAGTGTAACTAAAATACTTTAAGTTTTTCCTGGCAGAGAAGGCTACCCTATATTTCACTTACAGCTGAAGTTCTTTTATGATCCTCCAAGGGACACACCCGTAACACTGAGTATATTACACAGAAATGCTCTCTGGAAATAGCACAGATGTCTTGCTGGTGAGGACGGCATAATGAGGAGTGGATGGGCCATGATCATATGCATCTTGAGATAAACTGGGTTAATACAATGTTGCCTTGTTCTAGCTCTATAACACAGATATCTGAATGAAAACCATTCCCAGTGTGACTCTGAGTTACTTTTCCACTTTTTTCACTAGCGATTTGGGAACTCACTTGGATTTTTCTTCCTGTAAACTGTGATCTTCAACTTTGTCCTCCTTTACTCTAACATATCCTTTTTCTCCTTTCAGTTCTGTCTGATCTGGAGCTCATAGTCCAGTCAATTGCCTTCATTTTTGGTGGGTATGAGACCACTAGCAGTGTTCTTTCCTTCATTATGTATGAACTGGCCACTCACCCTGACATCCAGCAGAAACTGCAGGAGGAGATTGATGGGACTTTGCCGAATAAGGAGAGTGGATGGTAAATGGAGAGGGAGGGAGGAGGTGCAGCCTTAGCAAGAATGCCTGCTCACCACTTCCTAGGAGGAGTTTCCCAAATGTGTAAGCCTTGATTTTTTCACAGACACTACTTAGGAAGGCTCTAAAGAGGAAATGAAAGGGATAAATATACGTAATGGACGCTGCTCCCAGAAATATATGACATTTCTAAAACATTGCTGGTCCTCGTGCATCTATTATCAGTTACCACAATAATGAAAAAAAAACAAAAGAACAAACAAACCAGAAAAACTTAGTGCCATCTAAGAATAAGCATTTGTTGCTCACTTGTCTGGATAGATAGCTTAGCAGGCTCTTGTCTGGCTATTGTCTGATTGTGCCTGGCCTCAGGTGCACTGGGCACGTGGACCCAGCTCTGCCCGACACCTGTCTCATGCTGCAGTCATGGAGCTAGTGGTACAGAAGCCAAGTAGGAACCAGGTTATCTCGCTCCTGTGGAACCTCTTGACATCCTCACTACTGCCTCCAAATACAAGACGAAGTGCTAGTGACATATCACCCACAGTCTTTTCAGATCTCTGCCCAACTGGGATCCTTTGTGATGTGAAGAGACCTGACCTCTGGGGCTGGCGAGGCTGCTAAGGCAGTGAGGTGAACACAAAGGGATCTTTTATAGAGCTGATAGTCAATCCCTTAAGCAGCAAGTAGTAGACTGAGCAAAAGGGGAGGGGATGGGGCTGAATGTGGGATTTCTATCCCCTTTATAACTTTTACTAGATTGAAATTGTTTACCCTGGTAGCTTCTAATCTTTACCTTCTTTCATCCTGTTTCCGTAAGAGATTGACTAATTTATCCTCAAATTTTTATAGAGGTTGTTATGGTATTTCTACCCATATTTCATATATGTAATCAAAAGGGTAACTGAGCAAGATTTCCAACTAAAAAGCCTTAAGTGGAACAGGGGGATTTGCTCTCTACATGCTCTTTTCCTTCCCTAGGTACACATGTGGCCTTGTTTTTGCAAGGTGACTTCGACTTTGACATATTGTAATGAAATGTAACATTCATCCACTCTTGACATTTGTTCATGAGAGAAGAAAAGGTACTATGTGGTGATGCTCAGGATTTTAGGCCCAGGGTATGGGATGTCCCCACAGGTCTCCCATATCTGTAACATCTCCACATGTCTCATGGGACAGAGAGCAGATCAAGCACTTGATAGTTATTAGAATGCCGTATGGATGTGAAGCTCCTTTGCCAATATGCTTCTTTGGATCCACTAACACTTCAATAATGCTTAATAGACTGCACTAACAGTTAATTCCAAGTCTCAATTTATTAAAATCTGGGCTTATTTTCTTCCCAGACACCTGCCACCTATGATGCCCTGGTACAGATGGAGTATCTTGACATGGTGGTGAATGAAACTCTCAGATTATTCCCCATTGCCGCAAGAATTGTGAGGGTCTGTAAGAAAGACGTTGAAATCAAGGGAGTGTCCATTCCCAAAGGGGTACTTGTGATGATACCAACTTATGCCCTTCACCGAGACTCAAAGTACTGGCCAGAGCCTGAGGAGTTCCGCCCCAAAAGGTACAAGGCCCCTGGGAAAGGGAGCCCACCGTCAACGAGGCTGTTTCAAGCACATCCTACATCTCTTTGTGTACACAATAACCATCTGTTATACAGTGATTATCTTCTAAGTATTTTTATTTGTGCAAATTTCCTGTTATAAAAGTATTAATTGTGAAAGTTTATAAACCATAGACTAGTAAAAGAAAACTATGGCCACTTGTAGTCAAAACACCATAAAATAAGACTCAGTAATTATATGATATATGCCCTGATGGACATTGTTCTATTCATATATAAGTTTTTAAAAACTAGAGTGTTATAATGTTTTATTTAGGTTTGAACTGCTTCTTACTTTATTTAAGAGTAAACTATCCACTATCCCTTTTAACTATATATTTTTGGTATGGATTTGCCATAATTTATTTCACCCCTATTTTATGTTAGTGTAGGCTTTTTAGTCCTTACAGCTTTTCTGTGCTATTGCCTATATCTCTCTGAATTTGTCACCAACTTTAACAAATGTGTCCACATTCCTTTGTGTTCAACATTAGTTGCTGTTTCCTCAAGGGTAATTGTAAAGGTGCAGACTGAGGACCTAAGAAGTCCTCATCTCTGTTGGTGTGAGCCACTCCATTGAGGACAGAGGAGAGCACAGGTCTTCCTGGTCCTGTCTGTGGCTGCAGTCCTGTGCCAGGTCCCTTGTATTTGCAGTGGTCAGTGACTCTTCCAAAGCACAGTCATAGCTCTCTAGGCATCTCAGACATTCCAGCAGGCTTCTCTGAGAATATAGCGTGAAACTGCATTTAGGAACTCTGGAAATAGTTGATGCCTTTTCATTATAATATTGGTAATCAAAGTTAAGAATACAGTTTTTAGGGCAGTTTTAGGGCTGGTGAGTCAGGAGGCCGGGGAGCTAGACTTTTATTGACCCATCACTACAAGCCTGATGATGGCAGGGAGCTTGTCTTGTTGGCCATGGTGTCCCTTGGGCTAGCATGGAGTCTGCACATATGTGTTGGAAGAGTAATCAGAACTGACCAAGTCCTCCATTTTCTGGAGCTGCAGAGTTCTGTTTCTCTTTGAACCTGAGCAATTCAACCTCCTCTAGCTGCACAGAAAAATATCAGAGACCACTCACTGTACTCCCATTTGATTCATTCTGTCGCCAAACACAGAGTAAGTGCTTACTGAGTGTCAGGAACTGGGCCAGGATGTGAGATATCCAAACACTAAAATATATATATACTATGGAAGATGTTTCACTATATGCGTGTATTCTATAGAAACAGGCATATAGAGGACTTTTAATGTATCTGCATGTGCATATCTCCTGACTTAAGAATGATCAACGTGTGTCAGCTGCCCCATCCACACAGCACCACAACCATCTCCTAAACTCCTGTTATTTTGAAGCAGTTACCTTTAAATATTTCAGAATGCTCTCAAAAACATAAGGACATCTTATAAAACACATTACAATAATGTCATTATCACTTACACACAACATCTTTTCTTCATATAATCATATAGTGAGGAATCAATTTGAACAAAATGCAGGTGTAACCTTCAGAATTTATAGCTTAGTGGAACTGATAGACAAGGAAATCGTGATTATATTATAGGAGAGTAGCATCAAATGCCCATGTAAATTACCTGACTTAAATTATTCTATGTCGGGAAAAGGGGAGGGGAGACCGAGAGGTAAGGAGGAGGAAGACAAGAAGAAGGAGGAGGGAGAGGAAGAAGTGGAGGAGGAGGAAGAAGAGAAGGAGCACTATGGGGAAGACAAGGAGGAGGACTATGAAGACAAAGACAGAGAAGAGGAATACAGGGAAGAGGAGCAGGGAACAGAGATTTAGAAGGAAAAGAAAGTAGAAGAGAGGGAGGAGAAAGAAAAAGAAGAAGCCCAATTAAAATAGTGCTAGATATTTTCTCCTGCTCTTTTGTCAATGTACATATGAACAACATAAGTATGATTTGAGGCAGGAAACTACTTTTCCATTGATCATTCTCATTATTTATGTACCTTTTAGAGTGTGAGCACATCACAACCAGGAATATAATTTTAGTACTTAGAGGTAAGTTTTTAAAACCATACTCATGTCATCTCAACAAAATGGACAGCTCCTATAGGTTAAGGAGAACGGAAAAGATATATAGCTTCCAATTTTCATAGCAAAATAACTATAGCAGAATTCCCATGACTAACCACCAGAGTATTTTGTTTACTACTCCTGTGGGGACAGGAAGTCTAGGTCACAACTCCTATCATATAGCTCTTGGTTTTTCTCTCATTAACTTTCCTATCTACTATTGTGAATCCAGGTTCAGTAAGAAGAACAAGGACAACATAGATCCTTACATATACCTGCCCTTTGGAACCGGGCCCCGAAACTGCATTGGCATGAGGTTTGCTCTCATGAACATGAAACTTGCTCTCGTCAAAATACTCCAGAACTTCTCCTTCAAACCTTGCAAAGAAACACAGGTCAGTAAAATTTCTGTACACATAATGTTTTATTGGGAATTTTGTTTACTGTGGAGTGTATATTTTTAAAAAAGAATATGCTTGTTCATCTTTTTAGTAATTTATTTTATGGATGCAAATAATGTATTTGGAACCATCCATGGTCTTTTTTTAAATTTTTTATTTTTTCATATTATGGGGGTACAAATATTGTTAGGGTTACATATATTGCCCCTGCCATTCCTCCTCATGCCCTTCCCCCCACCCCACCTTACCAAAACATCAAGCATGTCCTACTCTCAGATGATGCGCATCGCACCTATTTTGTAAGTGTAAATTCTTCCCCTCCTCCCCCCTCCCATTTGCCCACCACCCAATAAAAGTTAGTTTGTTTTTT